GAGAGAGAGAGAGAGAGAGAGAGAGAGAGAGAGAGAGAAAGAGAGAGAGAGAGCCCCTATGCATCCATGTTTGAATGTATCTGGCGTTGTCAATGCACCAGATACATTCGGATGCTCCAAAGTTGAATGCACGACGATCGCTCTATACGTCCAGAATGTCGAAGTGGAGGGACATAACGACACGCACACACACACACACATACAGCAACCAACAAGAAAACGAAAGATGATGTGAAGACACACACACACACACACGCACACATACAACACACACACACAGATGACGTGAACACGCACACACACGCACACACACACACACACACACACAGACGCGTGCGCGTGCACCGGCGACGGCGCCAAGAAGACGCGTGAAGTACCTACCATTTTCGAATTAGAAGTACTGCCGCCACTTCTCAAGGGCATCACAGAAAGATGTGTGCCCCTCGTGAGTGCATTTCAAGGATGGACGACGAAATGCAACCAGCGGCCCAGTAAGGGCATATCGGAAAGTTACACCCCGTGCTGACAGGGGCCTGCGGAAAAGTTCAGAGGCCCGAGGGGCATAACAGGGTAAGTCGGCCTTCACAGGGGCACACCGCAAATAAACGCAAACTTCAGGGGCATTTCGAAAATTTTCCCTTGAAATAAATGTCGTGTTTGTGGCGAGGTGCAAAAAACTGTAATTGATCTGCTTTTCTGCATCTCTTCCTGGAACACGTCCTGATTCAGACACTTATTCCAATCCTCTTTGCCAGTGGGATCTGGCCCTAAATAAATAGATCATCAAAACGGGGTCAGAAAAAAAGCGGAGCAACCGAAAGAAAGAACTAACCCACCGTGACCGCTGCAAGTTGTATTCAACGTTCGAGGGAGAAACGAGATTAACCCGGATTACAGGCAAGGGATTTACCCTTTACACCCTCTTCCTCCCCTTCTTCCTTCTCCCCTCCTACTTCTCTCTACTCCGTATATCTCCCTGCTCATCGCCTTCAAGTTTAAGGACCCTCAACTTATAAGTAATGGCATCCAACCCAAGCATAGCTGCAGCTGATAACATCGGCAACTCAGAACGAGTCAGGAACACAGCATCCACACAGCCAAAGGCGGCAGTGCAGTAGCAGCAGCTGTACAGCAGTAGCAACAGTAGCAGCAGCAGCTGTACAGCATTAGCAGCAGCAGCAGCTGTACAGCAGTAGCAACAGTAGAAGCAGCAGCTGTACAGCAGTAGCAACAGTAGCAATAGTAGCAGCAGCAGCTGTACAACATTAGCAGCAGTAGCAATAGTAGTAGCAGCAGCTGTA